CGGGAAGCGCCACGAGGTCCGGTGGACCAGTTGGACCCTGCACACCAGTTGGACCCCCTGTGGACTCAGGAAGAAAGAATTGACATGAGGGCGGCTGCATGCGCCGCGAGGACATGAGGGCGGCGACATGCACGGGAAGACTCCAATTCCTGAAAAATGGAATTGTTGTTTGGAGAAGAACCTCTCAAAATCCCATGGGTTTCACCCACTGGTGACGGTATTTTGTCCGAACCTCTGTCTGTGCTATGTCTGCCCATCTATGCCCATAACGTACAAATACCTCGGCTGGTTGTGGGGTAGAAACTCATTGAAAACACCAACAAAGACCAAGAAACACCAATGGCCAATGGAAGCAAACCGCAAAATCTGCCATGCCCTAGGCTCCTAAACTTTGGCCATATCCACGTCTAGAGTCTAGTCACTGTTGTGTCGGACTGGCTCTGTTAGATTTCCACCCATCACTGTGCTGGTCCACGAGGCTGGATAGCTCTATAGCTGAGCTCTCCTCCCACTTACTCAGATTGATGCGAAGGGCCCCTCATATTTTTGAGTTTGACGTGTTTTGTGGATGTTCTTGGGACCCAAAAAAACAATCGCCTCCATCGCTATCCCCAAAAGTCTGACGATTGAGGGTGAATGTTTGGAAGTGGTCAAGTTGATCTGCCAAGCATGAAGATCCCAGGGTTGAGAAAATCACAAAACAAGAAGTTGTTCTGAAAAAACACAGACGACCGAACAGATTCACAGATCCTCCAAAGAAGGAATCAGCGCCATTCATGCCCTTGAACGAAGGAAGAAAAAGGACCCTTCCCAGCCAAAACCCGCTAGTAGCTGCTCTTTTCTCTAAAGATCGTAAGTCAGGATCTGAAACCCTCCCACCCCAAACCTCCTCTCCACCCAAGCTGAGGCTGCCAACACTCCACCACACTCTCCCCCCCACCCCATCCTCGCCTCTTCGCCGGATTCGCGGGACGAGTCGTGCAAGGATTCGCGGGAGCCGTCGCGTAAGCCGACGGTGCTCCAGCTCTCCACACCGGTGTCCTGGCGGCGGAGGTCCGGACCGCGGAGTGGACGACGGCGACGACGGCGGAGTGGTCCAATGGGCCAATGTCTGGCCGGTTGGGCGCAAGAATCAGTGCCAAATCCGGGAAGAAGCCAGAAATCAATGCGTGGAGAGATCACATCACTGATGCGACACCTTGTAAATTCTTGTAAGCTCTGACCCATGCCAAAACAGGGCCTAAAAAAGGATTTGGAATTCGTGAAGCATCAGTCAGCCCAATAGCACTATAGCAGAGCTCATCTCACCCTTCCTGGCAATCCCCAGGTTCATCCAATCGCGCATTGACCCGGGGGAGCAGCACCACGGAGGTTCGGCTGGTTGGAAAAGACCTCGGATGGTCGTCCAATGGTCACCAACTCGAACTCCGCGGTGCTTCCCACAGCAGGATGTGGGCCATGGGAAGACCATATGATATAGGTCCAATCAAAGAGCAAGATCTCATGGCTGCCCCAAGAGAAAGGGAAAAGCTGTTTGCTTTTAACCCGAGAGGGTTTTTTTGAAATGAATGGCCTGCCCCAAGAGGAAACCAGAAAGGATTGACTGCGTCCGACCCGGAGCATGCCGTGCCAAGCGAAACTTCATCTCCTGACGGCTAGAGCTGCTAGAGGTTAAATCCTCTGTGGCAGCCTGGCGCAGAATCAGGAAAAACGGTGAAAAAAAACTGAAAAAAAGAACTTGAGGCCAAGGGGGCGGGCGAAAGCTAGCGCTCCAGAATGGGAAAGTGGAGGGCAGCGAGGTAGGAAAAAACACGGCGCTCTTTTTGGAGGCAGGGGTGAAGAGTCCTTTATATGTGGCTCTTTGCCCGGATCCTCCTGCGAGAGAAGAGAGAGAAGAGAGACGGAAAGACGAGAGACAGAGAGGAGAGAGAGAGAGAGGAGAGAGAGATGAGAGAGATGAGAAAGAGATGAGAGAGATGAGAGAGATGAGAGAGATGAGAGAGATGAGAGAGATGAGAGAGATGAGAGAGATGAGAGAGATGAGAGAGAGAGAGAGACAGTGAGACAGTGAGACAGACGGTGAGACAGTGAGACAGTGAGACAGTGAGAGTGAGCGAGTGCGGCCGCAAGATACGCAACGCTAACCGCATGCCAAAGAGCGACGACAGGACGGAGTCGAACTTGCGAAGAGGGAGGAGGGAGGGAGGGA